TGTTCCTATTTTCCTCCACTCTCATTCAATCTTTTTCTTTCTTTCAGTCTTTCCATCTTCTTCCTATATCCTCCTCTATTAATTTTACACCATTCTAAACCAGAGACATAATATAACCACAAAACATAATATCCCTCTCAAAACATTTGAATGTACAACATGAAAACTTACAATTTAATAGTTAAAACAAGAGTTTTGTTTCATACACCAACTGGAAGTTGATTATTTTTAGATGACATACTGGAATTATAATAATAATCATGATTATTATTATTATTATGCTTATTACCACAATATTTGCAGGTATAAGCAAAAACAACATAATAATGAACATTAAATAAGTGGTTGTCTCTTACTTTATTCTCAGATCTTGTTTCATTCAGTTCTCCTGTTACTGACTCCTATTCCCTCATGATGAATTTTCATATATGCAATCTGAATATCTAAGCTCATAAATGACAACCTATGTCTCTGCTCATAAAGCTGCAACTGGTTGTGATAACGAACTTCTGCTTCTTCGGTTTTTAAAGTGGAGACTCTGTTCCTTACCTTTACGTTTACAGCAGCGCAACCAACTAAAGATGGTGCTACAGCTGTTTTTGTACGCAACATGCTCACAAACAATTTCTACTTTAATAACAGTCTACACGCAAAACATTTTCCCCCTCATTCATAAAACTGTAAAATCGGGGACATTCCCAGAGACACCTGTAGCCGAGGAAAAGTAGACAAAAATAGACAAGGACCTTAGTAATCAGGGACGTCTAGTCACCGTAGCCCTTCTTTAATAAATCCTACATCAGATAACAAAAAAAAAAGGCTAATTAAGTACTTGTTATATCCAAAGGTGTCAAGTAACAAAGTACAAATACTTCATTGCCTTACTTAGGTAGAAATGTCTATACCTTACTTGAGTGATTATTGTTAAGACAACTTTTTACCTCTACTCTATACCTTTTTATTATCTGTACTTTCTTCATTTTTTTAAAAATAGACTTGTTAGTTTTGTTTCATTTAAGCTAATTGTTGTTTTGGCCTGCTGCACTAAAAAAAAGAAAAACATAAAAACTATTAATTACATCCAGACAATAAAGTTCTTTGTGGTTCAACTCCGTACTGCAACAACTTGTTTTTCGCCACCTACCAAAATAAATAGTTTTTCAAGATGGTGCAAAGTTAAATTTCACACCATTAGTTACAAGTAAGAAAAGGATGTACAAAGAACTTATCATCCAGAATTGTAGAAATTTTTTTCTTTAATAGGGTAGTGAAGTAACCAGTATTAGGTTTAGCAGGGGTGCTCAAGTACAGTCGTCAAGAGCTACCATCCTGTAACTTTTAGATGCATCACTTCCCTAACACACCTGAATTTAAAGGCTCAATCCCCGCATTTAGCTCAGCAGAGGCACGGTAACAAGCCACACATTTGATTCACGTGTGCTAAAAATGGGGTGCATCAAAAAAGCAACATATTCTCATTATCAGTTCGTATGAAATCGTACGAAAAGTTATGCACACTATTTCGTACGTTTTGGACGTTTTTTCTCAATAAACCAGCTCAGTGCGCATGCGCTGGCAGACAGACAAAAAAAGCAGATCCACGGACGGACGTAAAACTGGGAAAAACAGTGCAATAATCACTTATTCATGTCTCTAACTACGTTGCTTGCTGTTTTATATCTTAGGGTTAGGGTCAGGGTTCGGGCTAATTGTATTTTAAATTCTATGTTCTTGAATGGTGCGTAAGATGCGCATGCGCATAGGACGAAAAAAACGTCCAAAACGTATGACATTACGGTGCATAACTTTTCATACGATTTCATACGAACTCATAATGAGAATACACTGCAAAAAAGGTGCAGTATAGAAGCTCTTGAGGACTGGACTTGAGCAACCCAGGATTAAAGCATCTGTCCATAACATCTTTTTCCTGCATTACTTACTTTATACTTTAAGTAGGTATACAAATGGTGCTATTACACTTTTACTTGAGTAGAAAGCTTAATTTGATACTTCCACAAAAGTGCTTTAAAACTGTAGGATTTATACTTTTACTTGAATAGTAAACAGTAGAAGTATATTTGTTTACAATTTCCAAAAAGAGGAAAAGTTAGCAAGAGACTTATTCAGCTCTATTTAGAGAATACTGTATGATCAAACAATATCATAAACCAAGTACTACACAGTTGTTTACATCTAGTAAAAGTCTTTTGCATTTGACTCTAAATCCACCAACAAGGTAAACATAGCAAAAAAAAGGGTATGAAAATATATTTCCACTGTTTTGAAGAATATTTGTTCTCATTGTCTGATGTGGGAGGTCAGGAATCTTGGCAGCTAATTCATCAAACTTTCTTTTGTGACCTTTATGTCTTTTAATAATTCATCTTTGATGGTTTCATCTGGATATATGTCACTTGGAAAGGCTTTCATGTTTATTTCTTTTAAGTAAATCTTTTAACACAGTCCTAATGTCATATGTTGATTTTATTCTTCCTGGCATGCATTATTATTTTTCTTATTTTCTTCTGTTGATACAAAAAGCTTTAAAGTCATAATCAATGAGAGGGCCTGCTTTTCCCCGGCCCACGATTGTGAATATGACAGTGATGTAAGACCACTGCAGGGATGCGGCACAGCCAAGTGCCCTTAATCATGGTCTGGATGCTAAGTCGGATTCCCACAATCAAATTGCTGAGCTGGAAACATCGTCCCACCACATAAAGATTTCTCGCTGGCAATTTCTCACAGATGATATCTGCTTTGAAAGCCGCTAATTTTAAAGAATCACAAGTAAAATGGAAAATAAACAAAACAAAACAAAAACATCCTTATATATACACTAGTATTATTTCCTTTTGCAAAAAGGTGTTCAAGGAGCTCATAAAGAGCTTCCCCTTACTCTTTTGTTCCTCTCTACTTTCCCCTTTATTTCCAAAGCTGGTTTCCCACTGGGGGCTGGAAGTGAAAAGAAGGACAAAGCTGTGAGCTGAATGAAAGGCTGCTTACCAGCCATCAGGTGATCACTAACAGCTTGTGAGGGCATCAAACAGCTCTTAATTGCTCAGGATGTGGACCAGCAGCTCCTCTATCCGCTCTCTTGCTCTGTCCCACTCATACTCTCAATTTGACATTGCTATGGTAACCACTCAGTTGGAAAAATAATCTGACGGCAAGCCTCATATTCATGTTTCGAGCTGTTTGGCGTTAGCGGAAAATATTTAGTGAGTGAAACAGAGGGTGGAATGGAAGAGTCCCAGCGGTGTCAACAAGCGGATGATGTCCAGAGGGCAAAGGGAGAGGAGATAAAACAACAGTGGCACTTAAAGGCCCATTTACAAGGCACCGGGTGTCACCTTGGTGGTTTGGGGGGGTGGGGCACCACCCTCCACTGATGCCTATTAAGGTCCAGCTGCTCACGTCGCAAATGAGCTCCCTTTGGCGGATTTGAGAGCAGGCAGAGAAGGACAGCAGCAGAAAATGATCCTCATATGAACAGCAGCTGAAGCTAACATGATCCCAGGAGAGCTTGGCTTTTTTAAAATGGTCTGGATTCAAACTGGCAAATGTGTTCTTGGTGAGGCCGTAATGTTAACTCTGCAGGGGTAATGCTCTGGCATTTCCTTTTTTGCACTGTTGTTGATTTCACTAACCAAAATTTCTGCTTGATATAAATATTTGCTTACAATTAGACAGTCAGTATGTGTCCATTCTGACTGACTCTAAAAAATAACATTTAACTAAAAACATTATCTGTTTGTGGATATCCTCGACTGTATTTACCTAAACAGCATTAAAAAATAAGATAGAAAATACCTTTTATTGTCCCACAACGGGGGAAATTGTGGTGTTCCAGCAACAAAAGGTTATAGCAGAAGTGGTCACACAATGTGGACCTTAGAAAATTACAGATAAGAAAATAAACAAATAAAGTACTTTACTGTACAGTAAATAATTACTAAATTCTGTGAACATTTTTACAGTAGTGGATATGTGAAAAATCGCAGCAGCATGTTATTTTAGTCTGACTAAGAGAAACTTTGCAAAAAACAGCATTAATGTAACAACTTATTGAGGTTATTATGAACAGTGTTGGTTATAATGTCTTATAGTTGCTGGGAGGAAGGATCTGTGATAACACTCCCTAGTGCATTTACAGTGCAGCAGTATGTCACTGAAGGAGCTTTCCAGCTCAGGAACAGCTTCATGCATGGGCTGGGAGATAATGAGAAAATAATAAGAACATTAAGAATTTTTGGTGTTTACTACAATCATGCTTTTGTAAAGCAGCAACCCAAGACATATGGAGGTTAATGTAAGATATTTATTTAAATATTTCCTGCTTATGAATCCAGTTCAGCTAGATTATACGAATTTATAAACAAATGCATTGTTTGTTTTTACCTCACAATTATGTAGTTTTGTCTTGGTGCATCACAATAAATCCCTCTGTATCAATAGTCTTAAAACACACCGTAGACAGATCTATCTACATTTTTCATTTAGCTCATCTTTACGTGCACCTGCTTCTCCTGCATTTCCTTCCAGCCCCACACCTCCTTGCTGCATCTCATATTCGTCGTCATTCTCTCAGTGTTTTTGAAGCTGCGTTCCCCACAGGTCCCTTAAATTGCTTCTTTATTTCAGTGGCATGTTTTTGTTTACGCTGCAGGTCAAGCTGTGCAATTAATTGCCAGTAATTTAATCAAGGTGACAGGTAGCTGGCTTGGATCTCGGAGCAGAGGGAACAGAGACATTGACACTAGATGCACCTCTCTCTCTGTGCAGCAAAATACAATGTTTAGTCACTGGATACGCCTTCTGTGCTGCATATAGTGCTTGATTATTATTGTTGAACACAGAATGGAAGAGAAGCTGATTATGGAGGTCACCTGCTTCTTTTTTTAGATAAAAAAAATATATATATTTTTGAAAAATCTAATCATAGAAAATGCACAGTACATCTTGCAAGAAAATGGAAACATAAGTACAGTACATACCTGCATTGCCAGAATAATCTCCAACTGTCAAAGGGTATCCATCCTCATCAGGGTCCACAGAGAACAGACCCACACCGAAGGTACCGTAATGGGCATACGCTGTGCTATTTTCAAAGTCCTCCAAGTCGATACGCAGCTCATAGTTCCCCTGGATGGACAGGGCATGGATCTGCTTCAGGCCTGGAGGGAAAAAAAAAGAGCGAGACAGACAAAAACAATCCATTACAAAGAATCACGCTTGTTCTCAGCAGACAATCTAAAGCTATTTCAGAGCTCTCTCACCTCTATACATTTTCTGGAAATAAGATTATATATATATATTTTTCTCACCCATTTAGAGCTTTCCTTTTCTTGTGTTGAATTTCTTTCAAAAACAAGATTAGAGATTTCCTTTTAAAAGTGATGCACTCATACAGCTGTTTGAAATTAAGTTGTAGAGCGGCACTTTTAGAGGATGCATCAGGGGCTCTAAGTTTGCTATTTGACTTCTTCGTTGCCTGTTTGATGTGAGGCATTTGTTCATTTATTGCTTAAGTGAATGTCTTGAAGATTTGACAATTTTCATTTGTACTTTAGGTCATGTCTAGTTATTTATGCACATTGTAATATGTATAAACCAAAAAAAAAAAAATAAAAAATCACGGTCATTAATTTTAGAAATGTTTTCTTTCCTACTACATAACAAGGACTGATGTGGGGCAAGGCCATTGAACTCACTCATAGTTTAAATACACTGTTATATGTAGTTCTACTGATGTAAGCAATATTTACCTGCAAGGCCATGTTTAAGAATTGCTGTTGTGTGTCAAGGACACTTCTAAATAAATTTGAGACCTAACAGAATGTAGCAACATGATCAATCTTCCTCACTTCGTCTGTTTGTAGTGTCAGTGGTTATGTATCTCGAACAGGGATGCTCACTATATTAGGATAGAATTATTCTGACTAAATTAATTTAATGCAATTTCCAAGACTAGTGAAACTGACACATTGTTCAAATTGCTCTCCAGTCTGTGATGGATGGCAGTATAAGTACTGTAGCGCTATGGAATGCATTGTTAGAAACCACTCCTGTACAGTGTTGTAGAAAAACATTTTCCTCAATATAAATTTCTTTAAACAAATTTTATTGCCAGACAAAGATAGAATAAGTAAATACAAAATCCTTTTTTAAATTATGGAAGAGAAAAGCCATCTGAATCCATTCATTCATATCTTAGAACTTTAACCCCGGTTGCACCACCCTTATAACACTATAATACATAGAAATCAGTCACTGTTGACACCTTTTGAGTATAAATTATTGATGATGATCAAATTCTAATTAAGTGGAATTGATCACATGCTTCAGATCATAGCTCATAAGCATAACCATGGTGCTCTGAGACTTAAGATCTCAAACTACCTGCAGGACATTCAGCAAATATAACAAGAAAAGAAAAAAGCTTGGTATTATCTGTTATGGCAATTCTTTAATGAAACAGCAAAACAACCATTGTCCATATAGCTACCCCCACTATGCATTACTTTCAGCATTTTGATTTTATTCTTTAATGTGGTAATATCACTACACCTAATGTAATGAAACAGAAACTTTCCTAAAAGTTCCACCTTTGTTTCATTAGTCGTTAGAATTAGTTTCCACAAAATTCTTTGTGGTCATCAAGTTGTTTTTTTTAAATCATAATTCTTGTTGAGATCCTTTTCTTTTTTCATCAACAGTGCCCCTAACTAAGGCACTTAGAACCCAGTATCTTTGTCTGATATATATTTTTTAAGATCTGAAATATAAACAGGTAACAAAAGGCACACATAAAGAAATCCATTAATTTTAAATATTTTATCACAGCACCAAAGATTTATATTTAACCAATAATATTCTCTCAGGAAGAGCTAGCTGTTTATTCCCACCTCCTGTATGTGAATGATTCTGTGTCAGATGTCCCGAAGTAACCTTTTAATTATTGAACCTGCCAGAACATGTGTGCTTGTAAGACAGACAGTGCCGGAGGGCAGAAATGCAGGGATTTCCATCCCTTTTTCCGTGCTCCCTCCTGCTCAAGGTGTCCCCCTGCTGTGTTGGAGTGATGGTACTTCTCAAGGCAACTTTTTTCCCTCCTGAGTTGATCAAAGGTATCAAAGAAGAATTGCATTGCAAGCAGAGAGAGGCAGGAAGAGCTCTACCTGGGTGTCTTCAAGCCAAATTTCAAAGCAGGAAGACAAACAGTAAACGGGGCTTCCAGGATGCGTTAAAAAGCTTTGGTATGCTTTAAAACACACTCAAATCAATCTAAGCATTGATTCAAGAGGGAAAGAGTTGTTGACAGAATACACCTAATCTGGGAAAGCTTTAACTTTAGTTTTATGCTGCATTAAATACAGGACCAAAAGCACCAAAATGAACCCTAACACTGTAATTTTTTACCTCCTACGTTAGCATCACCTCCGCAAATTAAACTCATTCTCTTTTTTCAACGCTTAAAAAGCTCAAACGGGCTGTGCCTAATTTGAATTCCATCACTGTCCAGAATTGCTCTGTGAGAGCACCTTGTCTGAAGTGGAGGACTAATTTGATGACAAACACATCTGAAAGAGCCCATTATTATTCCGTGACAGAAGCCTGCAGTCTGGGCAAAGGCACTTGGTTTGGATTTTATCCAGCCCAATGGGAGGCAAATCTCATGCTTTTGGTTTTCAAAGCAAATCAGACAATTGCAGTTGGAGGATCAGGCGTTAACACTACCAAAGAGAGGTGAGTTTATGTGTAAATCTTCCAAGTTTTCTTTTTTTTTTAAGTACTTCAATGCACAAGAAAGGCAAACAAAATTGAACATATTTCCGCACTGCATCAGAGGAACAAAGAAATGTCTCATTTACAAAAATAGTTTTTGCGTTGAGCCATTTGAGAAAAAAAATAGCATTATCAATCTGCAGGATCACCTCGGGGAAAAGAAGCTTGCAGCGATTTGACAAACTTCAAAAGGACTTTGAATTTTTTCTGTTGCAGAAAGGGAAAGTGAAATTGCAGATGCAACATGGCTCTATTTAAAGACTGTTCTGCTTCCAACTGTATTTACACAACTTTAATTCAGGCCCTAATTAAAGCCCGAGAGAATTTCAGTCAGACTCCAATAATTAAAAAGGAAGACAGGAGATATAACAACAGAGATTTTGCTGCTTAAAGTCTTAATGCTCAGGTGTAACTGTGCGCTAATTAAATGCTATTGTTAGCTTTATTTAAATGAGCTCTAATACAGGGGAGGATTTTAAGGTGTTTTGCTGCAGAATTAACATCCTGATCGTTCCATTGGGGATGACCTCCTTCTCTTGTTTTTGTACTGATTTACTATTAACTAAAAGTTTGATGAAATATATCTTTTTTTCTTTGTTGAGCAATTAAATTTCACGTATGTATTTTTTCAGCTGTTTTCCTCCAATTGTTTATGTTGATGAATGGTTTGTAGCCTGTACTATATAATTAATGGTAAACAAAAGCTAGACCGCAATAATTAATATATACAAACTTTACACAAATTTGAATTACATTTTATATGTAGATAGCTCTCATTGCTGCATTTTGAAAATAAACAACCTAAAGAGGAAAATGAAAACATGTCATGTTGCAAATGAAAAATAAAGCTTAAAATGGTTATTTTCATTTATAATGATTCTTATTTCTCATTAATAATGACTAAAAAAAGAGAGAGAAAACACATGTCTACAGCCATTTAGCAGTTTTGTGTAATAGATGCTGGTCATGTCACATTGGAGGTGACAGTATCATAGTCATTTAAAACAAATTAATTATTTCATGCTCAAATATTTATTTTCAGTTTCAATTAAGTTGTGTGGGTCAGGAAAAAAAGGAGTTTAAATGTTATCATACTCTTTTTTTCAAACATCTTTGAAGAAAATCTGATAAAAAAAAATGTTCTTTTGTCGTTTTGTAATTTTAAACAACTCAAACAGAAATGGTCTGTCAGAGGATATTTTTTTCTATCCATAAATCCAATAATGCCCAAATGGTGTGTCTAAATTTAACACAGTTGGTGAATTTTGAAAAGTCTAATTGGTTTAAAAAAAAAAAAGCCTATAATTAACTCAATTTCTAAAGAAATCAATGTGAAGTCTTTGCACATCACCCCACATCATCAAGGGTGAAAACATATTTAGTTAAGCTAGAATTTGAACTACAGACAGTGAAAAGATGCTGTCATTTAAAAGTCTAAACCATCATATACAAAATCAACATTCTAATTAATATCTACTTTATCTCAAAGGTCGATAAAAAAAGTTAACTAATTTTTGAAGAGAAAAGCTGAATCATGAAAATTTTGAACATAAATGGCTTACTATTGGAAATAGAAATTTTAAAATGTAAGCAATACAAAAGCATTTTTTAAAATATGCCATTTTTATTTCCTTTCTTTAACAAAAGTCTTGAGTCATTCAGGTGAAAATCTGGATGAAAAATTATATCTGAATGAATGGCCTTTTCATTCAGATTGAATTGAATTCTTGTTTATTTCATTTCATCCTTGTAATCCCTTCAAAAATCAAAGAAGAAAAGAAAAAAAAAACTAGTATTATTGTTTTATAAAATGTATAATCACTTCTGGAATTACAAGTAAATAATTTTGTTTTATTTACAATTTAGGTTTAAAAAACATTGACCCTCCTTATTTTATATTGAATTAGTTTAATATGGAAATATGCAACAATGAGAAGATGTGATTTAAATAAATTATTTATTAAGGATGCGTCAGCTGGTGATGGCCTGGAAAGACCCAGGCTAGGGCTGAAACAATCGGATTAATCGTGATTAATCGATTATTGAATTAATCGTAATCGATTAATCATGAACTGGAGTATAGAGACTGAAAAAGAGCTGACAGAGTGACTCATTTGGAACAGTAATAATATCAAAATTGTAAAAAATACATAAACATGTCACATTAAAGATGAAAAAAAAATTTTTCTCTGTGAATATGCTCTATTCAGAACTCTTCAAGTGGAAAAGTTTTCACCTAGTTTTTTTTTTCTAATGAAAAATCTTCTTTAAGGAACCTTCGGCTATCTGGTTATAAATCGATTAATTGTAAAAATGATTGACAGAGTAATTGATTTTCAAAATAATCGTTAGTTGCAGCCCCAACCCAGGCAATGACTTGGTGGGAATA